TAATTTATTAACGGTATCATAACCTTTACAAGAAAAAAAAAAAGAAAAACAACAATAATACATGTTTAAACATGTTTTGACAAAAAAATAAATGAGTCTCTGATTCAAAAACGAACTAAATCGAGTGAGACACGCTAAAATAATTCAATTTTCAATAGAATTTCGTAATTTTTCAGTCCGTTTTAGCAAAAAATTGAATTTATTTTAAAAACGTACTGAAACACTCTAAAAATGCAAAGATAAAATTTTTTTGGCCTAGTTTGATAAATTTTCGGTTTGTTTTTACCTAAATTTTGCAAAAAAACATACCAAAAACGCTTAGAAATCAACAAAATAATGCACTTTTTGACTCATTTTAGCTTTTTTTACCTTGTTGAGTAAATTATTATTTAAAAAAACAAAACTTTCAGTTTTTCAACTTGTTTTTGAGAAAATTTAGTATTTGACTTTCTACGTGCTAAAAAAACGTGCAAAATACTAAATAAAAACAAAAAAAATAGTGTTTTAATTTTTGACTGAATTTACTATTTAAATAATTGAAAAAGATAATTTTACCAACATTTGGGCAAAAACTACGATTCTAAAAAAAAATCATCAGAAACTAGAATTTTTTTCAAAAGTTTTCACCAAGCAAACCATTAAACTAGTATAAAAATCACCAGATATGGTGAAATTTCACCAGACCTGGCAACACTGCTTTGGCACTATCCCCCCAATTAAATTCATTAATTATCGATGCAGCAATTATGAAAAAGTGCATCAAACAGCAAAAACTGTTTTGTGATTTACTTTTTTATTTAAAAAAAAAAAATATTTTCTAATAGACGTGATCAGAAGATGGCGCTACAGGATGTGTCACTTGTCACTTGTCAAAAGTCACCAAAAATAATTCCTTGTGAATGTAATCTCCGTTAATTATATGCTTTGTGAATCAAGTTTGTGATAATCGCTATAAATAATTAATTTGAGAGGAGTCCAGTTTCCAGTATGAAATTTTGATATCCACTGAATTGAATTCAAAAAAATTCATAGAAATGGCAACTGGAACAACATTACAAAAAGCCATCGAATTAGTCACAAAAGCCACGGAAGAAGACCGTAATAAAAACTACGAAGAAGCCCTCAGGTTATACGAACATGGAGTAGAATACTTCCTTCATGCCATCAAATGTAAGTTTGAGTAACGTTTTAAAAAATTTCTTTAATTTAACTCCAGATGAGGCACAAGGTGAAAAAGCAAAAGAAAGTATCCGAGCCAAATGCTGTCAATACTTGGAAAGAGCCGAAAAAATCAAAGAATCCCTCAAGAAGGGCAAAAAGAAGCCCATTAAAGACGGAGAATCGGATTCCAAGTATGTTATTTTATCTTATCACACAAAACCCTAATTTGGTTTCCAGAGATGACAAGAAAAGCGATAGTGATAGTGACGGTGATGACCCTGAGAAGAAAAAACTCCAAGGCAAGCTCGAGGGGGCTATTGTGGTGGAAAAGCCCCACGTGAAATGGTCAGACGTTGCGGGTCTCGACGCGGCCAAAGAAGCCCTAAAAGAAGCCGTCATTCTCCCCATTCGGTTCCCCCATCTTTTCAGCGGGAAGCGAGTCCCATGGAAGGGGATCCTCCTCTTTGGGGTAAGTCCCACTTCTGAAACTAATTGAATTAATGAAAAATTAGCCCCCAGGTACCGGAAAATCGTTTCTAGCCAAGGCCGTGGCCACCGAAGCCAACAACTCGACTTTCTTCTCCGTCTCCTCCTCCGATTTAGTCTCAAAATGGTTGGGGGAATCCGAGAAACTCGTCCGAAATTTATTCGAGTTGGCTCGCCAACACAAACCCAGCATTATTTTCATCGATGAAATTGATTCTCTCTGTTCTTCGAGATCTGATAATGAGTCTGAATCAGCTCGCAGAATTAAAACCGAGTTTTTAGTGCAAATGCAAGGTGTGGGGCATGACACTGAAGGGATTCTCGTTCTGGGGGCTACGAATATCCCCTGGGTGCTCGATGCTGCGATTCGGAGACGCTTCGAAAAACGGATTTATATCCCATTGCCAGAGGAGCCCGCCAGGGCCACCATGTTTAAACTGCATTTAGGCAACACACACACCACTTTAACAGATGAAGACATTAAGGAGTTGGCTAGGAGGACTGATGGGTACTCGGGGGCTGATATTAGTATAGTTGTCCGGGATGCGTTGATGCAACCGGTGAGGAAGGTGCAAACTGCGACACATTTCAAGAAAATCAGGGGGCCCAGTCCTAAAGACCCTAATGTTATCATTGATGATCTTTTGACGCCGTGTTCGCCGGGTGATAAGGGGGCTATTGAAATGTCGTGGATGGAAGTTGAAGGGGATAAACTTGCAGAACCGCCTGTTACTATGGTAATTTTTTTTTGTAAGTTGGTGATACTGAATGTTTTTTTTTAGAACGATATGTTGAGGTCTTTGGCCACGTCGAAGCCGACTGTGAATGATGAGGATTTGACAAAATTGGAGAAATTTAAAGAAGATTTCGGTCAAGAGGGATAAATTGTGAGATTGCTGTATCTTTGAAAATTTCCTCATGTTTCGATTGTACCCAATATATTGCTTTTAGTCGGTTTTTTCAATGAGTTCTAAATGATGTACTTTTTATTGCCTTATTTTTTAAATAAATTATATTTGTAACTATAAACGTTAATAAAATGTGCACACAACAACTCATTCCTGTTTTTAAAGACTTTCTCCTGTTTTTAAAGTAAACTTTTGTAGATAACGATTTTAAAACAAAATTGATTGATTTTTTCCGACGGTAAAAAAATTGATGTAAATATTAGTAGATGTTCACCACTTGCAAATAAATTAGCATATTTTGAGGTATTATGTTGATTGTATTAAAAGCAAACTATTAAATTTATTATTTTTTATATTGTATTTTTATAA